ATCCGTGGTTAATAAATGATGGTACAGTTTGCTTTCTGTGTGTGTGTAAATATTCTACTTACGTACCCTTACTTCAATAACATTTTTTAAATCATATCAGTGAAAGGATTTTTATGATGATTTAAAATGGAATATACCCTGAAGTTGCGCTCGTTTACCTTTTCCCCAAGATACCACCAAGTACTTGAGCTAATCCTAAGCATCGATCAGTTTCCAAATCACGAAGTTACTAATATACTGGCACAGCTACCCATATACAATTGCGTTGAAAATCATATAAATAATGAAAACATTAGGATATTAAGGTTCCCCATAAACAGTAAATTGGACTAACATCGGGCGAACGGTTGCCTAACGTAGGGTCTTGAAAATTCAGGGAATTTACCAAATTTTCCTGTAAAAAAATGGCATTGAAACAATATAAACAACCATTTTGGGTTTTTTTTTTTGGCTTACGTCTTATTTTCACAAGCCGCTGTTCGTTTACAAACTGTGTGTAGATTTTGTTTAAAGCGCTTGTAAGTAAACAAATACGTAGCTGTGGCTCATTTTGTTGGCTTTAATACGTTAGGATATAGCATTCATCAATTGCATGAGGCCATAATTATCCAACACTGATTCTTGTTTGCCTTGTGTGAAAGTAATGGTTAATACTGACTAACTCCAGACGTGGGCAAACTCCAACATTTCGGTGTTTGCACTGGTTATTTATTAAACATCCACAATTATCTTGATAATGGGTATAATTGCAATACACGTCTGTACCAACCTGGTTCATGCAATTTACGTTGAAAATCATATAAATAATGAAAACATTAGGATATTAAGGTCCCCCATAAAAAAAGTAAATAGGACTAACATTGGGCGAACGGTTGCCTAACGTGGGGTCTTGAAAAAAAATTCAGGGAATTTACCAAACTTTCCTGTAAAAAAATGGCATTGAAACAATATAAACAACCATTTTGGGTTTTTTTGGCTTACGACATATTTTCACAAGCCGCTGTTCGTTTACAAACTGTGTGTAGATTTTGTTTAAAGCGCGTGTAAGTAAACAAATACGTAGCTGTGGCTCATATTGTTGGATATAATACGTTATGATATAGCATTCATCAATTGCATAAGGCCATACATTACCCAACACTGATTCTTGTTTGCCTTGTGTAAAATTAATGGTTAATATTGACTAACTCCAGACCTGGGAAAACTCCAACATTTCGATGTTTGCCCTGGTTATTTATTAAACATCCACAATTATCTTGATAATGGGTATCGTTGCAATACACGTCTGTACCAACCTGGCTCATGCAATTCACAGAGAAAGCAGGGCCCTTAATGTCCAAATATAAGATTTCACTTTCGACTCGTTTATGCACTTTAACCCCTATGAATAGGGTGTGGTATCGGGTGATTTGCAATGTGAAAGTCTCATGGCTGTCTGCACCGTTGACAAGAATATCTCGGTAAATCTGCGGTGAGGCTGTTTTTTTTTCCATGATCGTTTGCATTCGGGCTAAATGAACTTTCATCAAATCTTTGGATATTGTGTGGTCTGAATATAACCGCATAATTTCTAACATAAGTGTAGATGTATTGAGTATGTTGAGTTAGTATTGAGTATGTTGGCCAAAATTTGTATTTTTCACGCATAAACAATTATTAGGGGCTTCAAGCTTATGAGCCAAGAAATTACACTTAAGCGCAAAATACTTATCGCAGCACATTATGAGCGAAATATTTATAGTTGTATTTTAAGATTTCAGAGACAACTACTGTATTACTCCGACTTAAAGTACAGTTCGATGCTTCATCTCTCTGCTAAATATTCTGGGACCTAAGGAAGATGTCAGGAGGGAATCAGAGCAAACTGAGGAGGGGGGTGTTCAGTGGAAATTCCGAAACAGCTTGTTCAAAAGTCGCAGAGTAGCGAACAAATTAAAGAACTCTGATTTGTGATGAAGAGTAAATTTCCCTAGTCAGGCTAGAAAGAGACGAGTCACAACGGGCCACGGACAGACAGCCCCAAGAAGCACTTGCGAGATTTATACTGACACATTGAACCTATACCCGATGATAGCGCTGCACATCTTGAGGATGGTGAGGTAGAACATGCCACCATGATTTGAAAAATGCATGAGCGGATATCTGTGTTGAGCGGAGACAGTGCAGCTTTGTCAGCTACGTCCATCAAATTGAGCTCCACCTGAAGTAAATGTCAGCACTGGTGCACAATGCATCCAACTCAATTGCATGTGATAAGGAACATGCCATGATTGATTTTGTCATCTCTCCAGTGAACGAACTCAGCCGTACAACTCCGGACACTCCCCAAACTCATCACAGAGAACAGTTAAAGACGTCAAATCATGACATGAAATCACAGACAGAAAACCCTACTAACACTCTAACTATGAAAAAATAATGAAAACATTGGAAATGAACAGATTACCTCCGCCTAAACCGATCAACGTCTATGTCGATCCCATGATGTGCATCACAAGGCCATGCCGTTGTCATTGAGCATCATGGTTTGCAAGTTTCCCAGCTGAGCATTTCGTTTACTTTAAGAATAGTGTCTTATCCATTTGAGACAAACTGGATTCATTGCCGACTGTTTCCCCAAATGACAATCATAAGGACTTAGATCATGGAGAAGAACGATAACTTCAAAAATCTAATGACGAGAGAAAAAGCAGAAAAAAAACCTGCTTAAAGGGAAGATCATTAGCTTTCGCTATAATTTTCAGAAATGAACATGTTGAGGGTTAGTATAATAGAACAAAATATTGTTACACTGACATGTTTGAAGTTTTGTGTCCGAAAATGCTGGAAAAACCAAGAAAAACAAAAATGTTCAAGTAGTCTGGTTCCCTGACTCCACTAAAAATGAAATGGATCAATCCATAGATGCCGGAAAATTGTAAGGTAAGGGAACAAGTCTAGCTGGCCTGCACCCGTTCATGAACATGTAACCAATAGCAAACACAATTTGGACTGAAACAAATGGTAAATATGGAGCAGTAGTTGAAAAATAGTTAGGTTTTTCCAACGGTGGTCGGCCGACCACCGATGGAAATGCATACAAAAATACCATTTTCTTGAAAATGACTTCACACCAGGTGCCATAATTTTACAGAATGCTTCAGACTGTCATTTACCAACATCCTAGTAAGGTATTTCGTAAAAACTTGGAAGTTTTATTTTTCGATGTTTGCAAAGGTTGTACTTTCCCTTTATACACTAGATGTGGTTGATTGTGAGATGGATATGGGAGGATGGGGGATGACAATATGGCAACATTTCCCGGCTGCGGAAATTCGGAAAGCGAGGGGGGGGGGGGGGACGGCTGGACACCAAGTGACACTGGGGTGCTATTAGATGAAATACAAGTTTAAGCGCACGTTCCTTCACCTTAAACATAAAGAAGGTGTATTGAAAGCTTTGTATACGGTACTGCTTGTTTTTGATTTTTGAAACTATGTTAATGTGCTCCGGTAGCAAGTTACAAAATTACCTCAAAATCTGCAATTGTTACCACAAAGATCTAGGGCTGGGGATGATATAATAGCCCACCTCGTCAAAGTGTTGGTGGGGGCATATCCTACCCATCCCCTCGGCACTGACGACCGAGCTAATCAAAAACAACGTTAAGTCCGCAAAGACTGCGATGTGACTGAAAGGTTTCAAGGCCAACCTCTTCCTCTCAACATTAACCAGCAAGGACGAGAGAGTCGTAGTCAAACAGCCGAGCTTGGTGCTCACCTGCTCGTGCTCACAACAGCTAGAACAGAATTCCTCTCTTAGCAACCTACTCATGATTGCAAACAGAGATCATATCCCATTGCTGACATTGCAAGTTCAAGAACATGCATATTTTTTTTTCGAGACTGCAGGTACACCGGTTTCCATGTGAGATGGTGTGAGTCATACTACAAATAATCATTAGCTTGCCGAGTTAACGTACGTGGATGTCTAGAGTTGTCCTAGATAAGGGGACATAATTATTGGCACTATTGCAGGCGAAATGTTTGAGTTCCTGATCTAGATGTTTAGAGTTGTCCTTGATTAGAGGGACAAATTGACACTAGCTTGTGGAAATTTGAGTTTGGGGGGACAAACTGTCACTGTAAGTCATGGATGTCTAGAGTTGTCCACGATTTCGGCGACACATACTCACTATTCGGCGGAGTTTATATTTCAAAATCTGGAATAATATTGATTTACTGATACCATGTAGGAATATAACTGCATTATAATAAAATATGTATTTGTTTCCTCCATATGCTGATACCAGGGCTAACTCCAATATTTTGACGTTTGCTGTGGTTAAATATTAAACTGTTCACGCACATCATTAAGAATTATCTGACGTCAGTACCAACCTGGCTCATGGGATTCACATGTAAGGTTAAGTCCACCGATCAATTTCAGTTTGTTTAGCTGCTGCACTTTAACCTCCATTGGGTGCGGTATTAGGGGATGTGCTATGTCAAATTCGAATGACTATCTGGACTGATTATAAGAATATCTCGTTAAAATGGTTAGGCTGGGGTTGTTTTTCTCAAGACTTTTGGAATTCAGGCAAGATTAAGGATTAAAAGACTATCTCGGTAAAGTGGTTAGGCTGTTGTTTTTCCTCGAGACCCTTGGAATTCGATGGGAACTTCGGATTGTTTTCAATTGTACACTTTTTTTTCTTCTTATTTTTTTTTGTATTTGGTGGGGAGGGATTTCCATTAAATGGGGGGGGGGGGGGGGGGTATACCCCCATTTCCGGGATTTACGCCCCTGCTCTTTGCGAATGTATATTAACGAAACCCACCTTGTCGATTTTAATATAATTTGTGTGGTAAGCCAGTTTGGAGGAGTTGCAACGCAGGCCGACAAGCCAAAGTAGCAAAAGGGAGAACACGGATCTCAGTCTCAAAAACACTCGTGACATGTTAGTCTTGGTCCAAAACTGAACTTGTATTTTTGTTTCCCGAATGCAACCGATCCCTGGCAGGCACGATCAAGCCACAACGGCGGTAGTGGTCGTTATAAAACGAATCCAATTTGCGAAAATTAGCAGGAATTTTCCTGGATTAGGTTCACGGCTTTTTCAATTAAAATTAAGTGCGCCCTCTGTTGACGACTACGAGAAAGTCCAAGCTGTATGCCCTTTGACCTGGCACAGTGCCTAATTATTTTATTCTGGCACGCACTGAGTGACCCTTGAACTGTTTTCAAAGTCATGTTTTTGAATGTTTCTCAAGCAAATTTTCATTTTTTTAATTCAATATTCAGTATCTACTATTTAAATGAACACATGACTGCATTTTCCAACGAACACATGTTTTGGTTTTATTCGAGCGTGCATTTGGAAAATGGCTGACTTCAGCGTTGTGTCATGTGTGTGGCATTTGCAAGCGGTCGAAAAAATCGTGATTTTCAGTGTATCCTGAGATCAATACCCCAATTTTTTACAATCAAGATGGACCGTACAGACCAACAGGCAAGTTGTCTACAACCAGGAAATCAAAAAAGTAAGTCTGTGCGGAATATTTTGAGTGGGGAATAATGGCCTGCAAAACGACTACAAACGTTGGCATGGTTGGCCGCACCGTGCACGCGGCAGTGATGGGCCGTGTTTTGTACGTATTGTACGGCGCGCCACCCGGCTGTGTGCATGGTGGGCCTGTGCGTACGTGCGGACTTGCGGCTATTGCCTTCGTACTGAAAAGGGCCGTGCAGGGGGGGGGGGGGGATAACAACACGGGGCTTTCATGTACATGTGTACTTGGAGTTATGGTTTGGGGTGTACAAGTGTATGGGGTGGGGACGATGGTTCTTATTTCAGTATGCATGCATCCTTAAATAATAGAAATACAACTCTTCAGGCATATTCACACTCTAGTGCACTAATGATATTAACACCAACAAAAGTCAAATGAACATTTAATGATGAACGTCATTGGCATTACTTAACTTTGTTTATTTTCTATAGGAGAACTCAGAGTAGGCACATGGATTGATTGATGGGGAGGAGCATACTGCGGGTTCTCTGGTGAATGAGCATGACGAGTCGGAACGTCTAAATATTGCCTCAGTAGAGATTCAGGTAAACACAATTGGATTTTAATTTTAATGTGTAACTGCGACCAAAGCAGGGACTGCAGACAACTTCAGTAAGGCAAAATGTATATGTTGGACGTGATCGGTCAAAATTGGCGATATTTTAACTGTGCGCGCTGCACTATTGCGCGATCTATTGTTCGCGCAGCGTAACGGTTGCGGAAGAAAATGTTTCAACTATCGAAAGGTTGTCAATGGTGGAACCATTTTCTTGTGCAATCGATCGATGGCTGCACGATCACCCAAGGTCGAACCGATGGCTACGCGAACGTTAGATTGCCCAATAGCGCAGCATGATTGGGATATCGCACTGATTTACCGATTGCGCCCAACATACATGTACATGTAAACCCTCCACTCAAATGTACAGTTTTCAAAGTCAAGTACATACACAAATGTATGCCCAACATAGAATTTCTCATTGTACATGTGCATTAACATGTACATGAACATGTACATTGTAAAATGTCCACAAATAAAAAAGGAACTTTGCCTATGTATGTAAGTTTTTTTTTTAACTGACAGCTTGAGCATGAAACATGAACACATGTATCAGGCATTTGCAGTGTTTGCGCTTGAATTATTTTTCCAGGACATTGGTGAAAAAAAGTACATCATGTCATCAGTGCTTCAAGCCTCACACATGTATTTTGTTAACAATAACAGCATTAACATTTTATGCACAAGGCAAACTTTTGTTGACTTTTCTCAGCAACTGGCTGAGGAACAGATTGTGTTCCTTGGATTTCCATCGACATTCAAATAGGAATCCTCTTCTATTCTCTCTTTTCATACACAGAACTCAATCCTCCTCTTTTTTTTATCTTTTCATACACAGAACTCAATCCGCCATCTGTTCTCTGACTTCTGGAAAGGTGGTACCAAGATGGCGGAGCATGATACTCTTGAGATTTGACAGTACATCCTTTATGTCTTGAACAGCTCTCCTAGCTCTATTCAACTGTGTGTGGAATTAATTCCTGCCCTACTCATTCAGCAGACCTGGGCGAGAGAACAAACTTGAAAGGAAAAATCTAACAATATTATATTGATTAATGATGTGCACGCAAAAGAATGAATTGGAAAGAGCAAAATTTTAACCTGATGGTTATTCTAAGATATTTTAACAATTCAGTGATTTGTCATCCTTGAAATATTTTAAATATAGGACTTGCTGTATATTTGGCTATAATCTAAAATATTGTTTTTCTCTCCCTCAACAGTATTGAGTGAGAGAAAAACCAATATTTTGTCTCAATCTTCTGTCTAGTTTGTCTTTTTTCCATGATAAATCATCTGGCCAGTGTTCAACTCAATGCTTTACTTATTTTGTGAGATAGTTTGTCGACCAGGACTATCGTTTCCATGCAAAAAGTGAGGAAAATGTTGTGCTTGGACTGGGACTGCATCCGATCGCCAAGCTTTCTATCCGTGTTGACACGATGCACTGTTGAGGGAGAGAAAAAACAATATTTTGTCTCAATCTTCTGTATACTTTGTCTTTTTTTCATGATAAATCATCTGGCCAGCGTTCAGTTCAATGCCGTACTTATTTTTTGAGATAGTTTGTCGATCAGGACTATCGTTTCCGATCAAAAAGTGAGGAAAATAGTCTGTTTCGACTGGGACTGCATCCTATCGCCAAGTTTTTTTTCTCCGTGTTGACACAAGGCAGTGTTGAGGGAGAGAAAAACAATATTTTGTCTCAATTTTCTGTCTAGTTTGTCTATTTTTGATGATAAATCATCTTGCCAGCGTTCAATTCAATGCATCACTTATTTTTGTCAGATACTTTGAAGAGCAGGACTATCGTTTCCGATCAAAAAAGTGAGGAAAATAGTCTGTTCCGACTGGGACTGCATCCTGTCGCCAAGTTTTTTTCCCGTGTTGACACAAGGCACTGTTGAGGGAGAGAAAAACAATATTTTGTCTCAATCTTTTGTCTAGTTTGTCTATTTTTCATGATAAATCATCTTGCAGGCGTTCGACTCAAAGCATTACTTATTTTTTGAGATCTTTTGTCGACCAGGACTATCGTTTCCATGCAAAAAGTGAGGAAAATGTTGTGTTTGTACTGGGACTGCATCCAATCGCCAAGTTTTTCTCCGTTTTGACACAAGGTACTGTTGAGGGAGAGAAAAACAATATTTTGTCTCAATCTTCTGTCTACTTGTTCTATTTTTCATGATAAATCATCTGGCCAGCTTTCAGTTCAATGCATTACTTAAAGGACTATCGTTTTCGAGCAAAAAGTGATGAAAACGGTCTGTTTGGACTGGGACTGCATCCATCGCCAAGTTTTTTTCCCGTGTTGACACAAGGCACTGTTGAGAGAGGGAAAAACAATATTTTGTCTCAATCTTCTGCATAGTTTGTCTATTTGTCATGATAAATCATCTGGCCAGCGTTCAATTCAATGCATTACTTATTTGTTGAGATAGTTTGAAGACCAGGACTACCGTTTCCGTGCAAAAAAATGAGGAAAATGGTCTGTTTGGACTGGGACTGCATCCTATCGCTAAGTTTTTTTTCCCCTTGTTGACACAAGGCACAGTTGAGGGAGAGAAAAACAACACTTTGTCCCAATCTTCTGTCTACTTTGTCTATTTTTCATGATAAATCATCTGACTACCGTTCAATTCAATGCATTACCTAATTTTTGAGATTTTGAGTTTGTCCAGCATGCCTTTCGTTTCTATGCAAAAATAGGGTCAAAATTGTGTAAGCGTGATTAAGCCGCCACAGCGGGAGAGGGCGCTGTCAACAAGATGAAGCAGACCCAGGAATTTTCTGGGTCCGTCACTTCAATAGAGATAAGTGGTCTGGCGCGACCTCTACTGCCGTGACGGTCTCACCTCGCTTTCCAGGATTAAAAGACCAATCTACAAATCCAGTCTTTGAAGATGTTTAGTCTTTTACAGTTGCTCCATAATATTTGAAAATGACTTGGTACAATAAACGTGTTGTGAATTTAAGACCCTGAGGCGTTTTTAACTGTCGTGGTCTCACCTGGACCAATATCGCATCGCAAGGCTTTTGAAGAAAAGCAAGGGTTGATTTGCAAGATTTTATAACGTCTCCATCTTTCAACGAGCGTCACAGCACCATACCACAAGAGGGCGTTTTCTGAATTTGAAGCTGGGTCCATATATGATGTTCATTCAACAGAAAAAGGGTTTGGGACCACAAAACAATGTCTTAAAGCACTGACAGAAAATCGATTTCATTGTCTGACGGTTAATTTGGAGGGAAGAGGGAGGTGGACCCACAAATTAAAAAAAAAATATTCATCCTTGTCTACAAGCAGGTACGGTAGGGCCGTAAAGCTGAGTATCCCTTTGGTGGAGATGGGATTCTTAAAGAGGGCGCTATTTCCTATTTGGTGGACCCTATATAGAGGTGTTGGACTGGCATTTGTTACCCCCCCCCCCCACCCTGACACGTGCGATCGAGGGCAGATCTAGCTTTCAGGAAACACATAGAGACGGGAGGGGGTGTTGATATTGGAGTGAAGGTGTGTCCCTGCTATTTGGGTCCTGGTCACTCCTCCTCCCCCTTTGAGAATAATGTAGGAACTTTAAGTCACATTTTATTATTTGTTGCCCCGTTTTACTTCTATCATAATTTTCCTACAGTGGAGTAACGAGGGCGGGGGGGGGGGATCCGTTTCTGCTTAAAAGTGTTTCTTATTTACATAAACGGACATAAATCTGAATTAATAACGGTTCATCACTCTAAATTACACATTTTTGGTACATCGCTTCAGTCCCTTTGTGCACTGATTACAACACCTCAACCCCCCCCCCCCTTTGTAGATTCTTTGACATTAAACCTTAAGCCATCGCCGTTGGAAAATATTGGTTTGTTTCCAGGTGATGTGATATTTCTTTTAAAGAATTTGGGAGGGACAGTAATGTGGACGGGGAGGGGATATATGGAAGAATAACATTATGTAAAGCCTTGCACATGCTAAATAGACACTTTTTTAAATAACAGAAATCTTTAAAAATTTCAATAATTTTCAATCCATCAAATGATCCTCTTCCTAAATCATTTTTATTCAAAAATGTTTTAAAGAAACAGCAGTTGTACTTAATACTGTAATGTGTGGCATCAGTCACAAAACATTGACAAAAACCTTCTTCCAAGATTGGTTTACACAATTACACTGCCTTTGAGCACAACAGCTTTAACAGGTTTCTCTTATAATGGGTGTTCACCTTAAGTTGTTTTCTCTAAAAATACAAATCTTAAAATTCGTCGCAACTCAAGTTTAAATTCGTCCAAACACGTCTGTGATGAATTTCCAAAATCTGCAACTAATTTGGCCCCACTGTCATTTTCAATTATTTAGTGGAACTTTATAAAATCGACAAACTACCGGAAATTGTTGGACAACCTTTTTATCGTAATTGGTTTTCCGTCTTAAAAAAATATAACAACAGATGACACGATAATACCCTGATTTGTAACAGCCACTCAAAGTTCAAGGTAGATATTAAATACATCAACTTGAAAGTAACTTTCAGCGAGACGGCAACCCCTATGTAATCTGACCTCAGATTATTTGTGTGGGGTGTCACTTTAACATTTTTGGCCCATATATTGGCTGATAATACCCTTTCTCAACTATTTTTTGTTATTCAAAATAACATAGTGAGCCAAATTCGTGGGAATGGAACGTGAATGTAAGGAATCTGTTTTAGTACAAAAAGGATGTACTTAAACAAAAAATCTAAACTACATTTTTTTTTCAATTTTGAATGTTTGCGTTGAAATAAGTGTCAGATACAAAACTTTGCTTCCGTTTACTTTTCTAACTGAAAATGGCGTCGGCTGACGAGGCAGTACTCCCATTCGCTCAAAAAATTATATGGCCACAACACATGGCAGTCTTGAATATCAACAAAAATTCTTGATTTGATTTGCAATATATATATATATATATATATATATATATATATATATATATATATATACATGTATGTATTTTCCTGCTCTTGACATGCAAGTGTCAAAGTTTGAAATGCATTTCCCACAATGCAGCATTTTATTCTTTAGATTGAAACAGCTTTTCAATACAAACACTTATTAGAATGAACACCTTTGACATGATTTAGCCTTAAAACGTTTGCAATTTATCACAAAAGGACATAAAGGCGTATTACAGAATGAATTATTTCAGGTGCTACTTGCACATTATGTAGAACAACATTCAGCAAATAATAATCCCCCTTTGAAAAAAAAAGCTCCTAGGTAATTTTCTTTACAACTTTACACAAAACAAATTATTGTAACACCTGAAGCATGAACAAAGGGAAGGTCTCCTTGAAAGCGCTACTCTTTATACATCTTTAATTCCACTGTCTGTTTAAATGTTAAGGCGTTCGACACTTTTCCATGTATTTAAAATTTAGCATTGTTCCGCCTAGAATTTCCAATTTCGTGGTAAACCACATTGACGCCCTCGTATGGTACGCTCTCACTGATGTCAAATGTTGGTGTTATTTAAAATCATTGACAGTTACATGCGTCTGCACATGCGTGTTACAGAGGAACATGTACATGCCATAAGATGTGACGTCAGCTGCAAGGGGAGAACAGTCGTAACATTGATATGTGTTTTTTTTCTCCAGTTTATTATTTTTCTAATTACTTTTAAACAGTTTAGTGACTGGTTATTGAACCATGGACCGAGTTCGTGAATTGGGAAAAAATTGACAAATTCCTGACGGAGTCCGCACACAAATCCAGTTGGAGAAACAACTTGAGAGCGTTTTTTCATATCTTGATTGACCTAAGACACATTTGAAATGCAACTGGCAGTGGTGTTTGACAACTACAATTTGAAATTTAATACGAGATAACCCGCCGCAGCGACCCGCCGCCGCGAGAGGGCGCTATCAAGACCAACCAATATCGCCCACGAATTTGTCAGTAGGCCAACTTCTAATTGTTGTGTAATGCGCGGGCACCTGTTTGGCCTAATACATGCAGAGCGCATTAAAAAAAAAATAAAAGCAGTTCCAAAAAAAAACACCTCTGAAATTTCTTCCAGTAATGTGCAAGACGTTTGAGCAACTTCACTGGTTAGGTCTTTTGTAGGATTTTTTCTACTATTATACTGTTAGAATTTAACAGTTCAATCATACTGAGCATGTTTTTTTTTTTTAGAAC